GGGGCAGTGATGAAAGCTCTCCAGAGCGGCCTCCTTCTGGGGCCAAGCAGCTCATCCAGCCCTAGCCGTGGACAAGAGCAAGCACTTACACAGGCTTTGAGTCATTCTGACCACAAAACCATCAGAAACGCTTGGGTAGGGGCTGCAACAAGGAACGAAGGATCTGTTCTAGCTGCAGTTGGAGGAAGACTTGCAATGAGTTGGCAGCGCAGACCTGAGTGTGCACTGGTAAGATGCTGACCACCAGCTGGTTACAAACCCTATGATATAGGAGCATCTGATAAGAAGAGTCATTAAGTCCCATCCTGTATCTGCACGCAAACACACACCAGATGTAAAGGCCAGGAGATTCTTTACAACATCTGTTTTCCTCACACACATATCTTCAAACAAATCTCCTCCCCAGCAGAAATTAAAAGCCACTACATAAAAGCCACAAAAACACTAAGGTCCCAGAAGCAACAGCAAGAGAAGCCAAGGACTTGCCAAGATCAGGGGTCCCTGCATTAGCTGTGATTTTTTTCCATGGATAACCCATGCCTGTCACAGTCCTTGGTTTGTCCTGAAGTCAGTGGGAGCTTAGAACAACCCATTCTTTAAAAGCAACATCTCTGAATAACAAGAAAACGAAGCATGGCAATTACTGAAGTGAGTGAATAACAAGTTTCATAGGTGCTGTCAGAAGGGGAGAAGGAAAATCCCAGCCTGCTCCAAACTGCTTTCTATGTGCGTTGGCAGGTTCTTGGTGTTTCTCCACGACAGAAAGGGCAGGTTCAAGCCAAGCGCCTGTGTTACAGAACGTCCAGGCTTACATAAGTGCAAGAGGCCCAGGGTAATTATTAACACTAGCTTATTGCCACTGGCTTTGTGCTGGAGTCACCTGGTTGTTTAGATTAAATGTACAGTGGTCATTTAGACAAGGAGAAGGCTTCCAGCACTGCGATCCAGTGGAAACAACCCCCTGGAGAGGACAGGAGACCGATGCAAATATTGCAGGGTCTGAAATTAAATGCTCCTCCAAGGAGCCAGGTTTGACAGCTTCCTAGCACCCCCTGCTCCAAAGGCCAGTTCGCCTTCCATGCGCTTCAGTCCCCTGAGTTCCCTACGAGTTGCCAGTGGAAAAAGCCTGGTGTGACACAGGGGTAGGGGGAGCAGAATCAGCTCCAGGCAGCTTTCCTGAGCGAGTCCCAAGTCAAGCAGACTGGCAGCAAACTCTCATTTCTGTCTCCTTGGCATCCTTTCCAAAGATAGACGTTATCAGCGCAACCTGACTTTATCTCACATCCCGTCTTTACCTTTCTTTCCTTATCTGATGTCTCACTTAAATGTCCTATCACTCTTTGCCTTCTATAATCTGCCATGTGTTATTGATGTGTGGTCGGTGCCACTGTCTGGGGCAAAGGAGATTTGGGACTTCTTGGTTCTGTTCCCATTTTCTCTCCGCTCTTCTTTGTCATTTCGGGCACATCAGTCCACTGGTCTCCATGTAACCATGAAGCCATGGTCACAGAAGCCATGTTTCCATGAAGAAAAATCCCATTCCTCTTTTTCTCAGTGCTTAGTCCTTACCTCAGCCAATATACTCTTCCCATATGACAGCTCCTTACTTCCTATAATACTGTTTTTCACTATTAACATCGATGAATAGAGGCTTAACCAGCCAGAAATTACCAATAAAATCTTTGCAAAACACAACAGGAACAAGTGCTATAAAGCAGCTCACAATCATCATGCAAAGGATGTAACACTACATATGTGTTCATTCACACTTCCAAAACCCAGTTATAGATATCTTAAGTCAATGAGACTTAAGCACATTCATAATGATGCCACACTGGGTTTTGCCACACGGACTTGCTGAACCAGGGACATAATAAAGGACTCACAAATTCAGTTGTGGCATCAAAGCATCAAAAATTCTTTTGTCTTCAAGTGCTTAATCAGGCTTAAGGTAAGGCCACATTCGTACCATGAGTCAGCAAGACCTATAGCAAGGCCCAGGCAGGCAAGTTATTTTACAAAAACAAATACCAAAAATTTCATTTGAAAGTTTCTGTGTTTTTTGTGACAAACCTCTGAAAAAATGTCAGTTTTCACACAGAACTAATTCTCCTTTCACAACAAATACATCCCTAATAAAATATAGTCTTTTGACCAAAATACTGCAATGTTTATAAAACTTAAATTTCCTTGAAAATAAGTACTACTTAGCCAAAAAATACTCCACACGAATCACACTCAGAAAGTGTACTTAAAACAGAAAAAAAAAGAGAAAAAAAATAAAAAAAAAAGAAAGAGAGAAAGAAATGAGTGTTTCATGGAAAACATTCCAGGCTAAAACTTAGCTTAGATCTTAGATTTCTCTGCTGATGTGCTCCAGCAACAAACATTTTGGGTTGTTCCACTTCAACTCTAAGCATTGCCTCTTGCAGAGAAATAGTAACTTCTGCCCTGAGTTTTTTGTAGGGTGAATTTCACAACATTACAGCAATATCAGAACTCCAAATGAGATGGGGAGGAGAGTGAGACACTGGTTAAAATAAAGCAACTAGTTTAACGCAAAATGTCGATAGGGTGAGAACAGAAGGGAATTGGAGATCCTCTTGGTGCAGGTTTGCTAAGGGAAGCATGTGCACACCTAGCAGTTTAGCACTCTTAACTGTCCTTGGGTTTCTGATCTTCATGCTACATCTCATGAGGTAACAAGAACATGGAGTGAACAGAGCTTTCTCTGACATCTTCAACCTTCTTGACAGACTCATAGAGACTTCTTTAGAAAAAATAATCAAGGATTTAGAGCTAGTGGGTTTTTTTTGGTGGCTATGCGTCAGGGAACGACTTTTTGAATGCCTACATGCCCATTAGACTCATTCTTGCTGGGAGAAGATCTGGACCCTCTGCACCATTTCTTCAGTGGAGCTTCAGGAGGGATTTTAATGCCACTAACACTGCTGGATTCTTCTTCCAGTGGAGGCCAAGCAACCAAGTGCACAATGCCAGACTTGGCCCAGTTTGTGGATCCCAAGAGCAGCATGTTCATGCTTGTATTCTTAGGGATGGGAAGCAATGGTGTTTGCAGGATGCAATGCGTTCTCCTCCAGCCTGAAGCATCCTTCATACCACAGATCCCACGTGTCACTCTTTCAAATACAGGATTTACAGAAGAGCCACATGAAGCACCTTGGCACCGAGAACTCTGCCATACCGAGGCTTTATTTCACCATCTAATCCTCTGACTGCTATTGTTATCGCTTCCTTCTTCCATCCAGGGATTGCATAAATAAAATATTAAGCCCAGTGATGTCCATGGTTTATAAGAAGAGGAACTGAGGCGCTAAGTGAACGAGTTCTCTGCCCTGGGTCACAACACAAGTCACAATCACAGCCCCATCTTCTCAAAGCTTCCTTCCTCGCACTAACCACCAAAGCTTGAATCTCCTCAAAATCTCTTTGCACTGATTTGTTAACCACCGTTTTACTGTGGCTGCAGACCTGTTCCACAGCAGGCAGAAACCACAGAAGGCATTTGGGTCCCACAGCAGCTGCTGGGCACGGCCTGAGGACTCCCCCGAGGGGCAGCTGGACCATCGCACCTCCAGCACGTCGCCACTTTGAGCGCTGGCCCACCGGTCTTCATGGAGACCATAGCAACTCTTCCTTAACGCAGGATTTCTCAAATGGAAAAGGTCTTTGGAGTCACCGTTAGAGCTGTTCCATCATCTACCTGTCACACAGCACCTGAAAGCTATGTCTAGGTGAATCAAAATTTCAAGCACTAATGTCTTGCTTAAAGAACTGGCTACAAAGGAAATTAATGAATAATAATTTCAAAAAGGGATTTAAAATTTCCATTTTCATTTTATTGTCAAAGTAAATATATTTTTATGAAGAACAAAAGAAAATATACAGAATTGTAACTTATGTACACTGGTTTTATAGGTATTTTTGTTTCCAATTTACACAAATTTTGATACGTTATTAAAAGATATTTTATATAGATATGCATCTATGTACAGTTTTATTTACATACATTCATAGGATGTGATATAAACCAGTCAATAGATGATAGTTCATTTATATTAATTTCTAGAGGACAAAAGGAATGCATTCGCTTTAGCTAGACCTACTGCTCTTACATACAACACGGTCTCCTGCACTACCTAGAGCTAGAATTGCAGTGTTCTATTTCCCATTTTGTCAACAAAAAGACACACAGATGTTATCTGCGAATGGAAAGGAAATGCAACATCCATTATAAAATCGTTTCTAATTACTGAACCCTAATTTTTTTTCTAAAGCTTACAATTGCCAGAGTTCAAGAGGAGAAACAAAACAAGAAAAAACACAAACATTATCACTTGCCTGCTACCATCCGATTATTTGTTTAAATTCCCTTCTTAGCCAGCTACGGTGTCAATTTGTTTCTTTTGGCTACTGTCCTCACCCCTTCGCCCACCCCAGCTGCGTGGAGCTCTGACATGGCTGTCAGGAGGAAAAGAGAAACACGTAGCGCTTATGATCACCCTTTGACAGAAGATCTCCCAGTATTGTCACACCAAGTTACGATATCTACCAACCTCCCCTGGGAGCTGATATGTCTGGGGAGACCCTGGCAGATGGATGGGGACGCAGAGCCTGGTCTGGATCTCTGTCCCCGCCAGCGAGGCGCAAGCACCTTCGGCTCACATGGGCTGTAGGCACCCAGGGTACCCACTGCTCGCTGAAGACCACCAAGGACCTCCAGGACGGAGCAGAAGAGGAGTTGAGTGGAGGCAGGAGTTGGGCCTCACGGTTCTGACAAACATCCTCTTGCAGCTTGTAGCGCTGGACAACAACCCTTCTGCTCAAGCAAGTGGACACCTCAAGCCAGCATCAAAGGAAAGCAGAGTTTCCTTCAACACATGAGCCTCTCTATACCCTCACCAGCAGCGTAGGACATGACAAGTGTGCACAAGGCATCCACGGAGCCTCCCCAAAAGGCCTCCACTCCAGGCCAGTTAGCGCAGCCCAAGCTTCTGTGTTTGCTTGGAATGTGCCTTTGCTTAAATATATATATATATATGTATGTATGCATATGCACATACACACATATATATGTATAGCCCTCACCAAGGAAGAGGTAAGTGTGAGCCAGAGAAACCCAAGGGCTGGGAGATGCATTCCAGCGCTCTCCATTCCTTGCCTCCCCCTGACTCCCACTGTTCCTCCTCCTGTTGCCGGCCCCTACAAATCCTTGGCTCGGGCAACCCAAAAACAAAGGGGTTGTTTTCATTTCAAAAGGAATTTGCTGTTTCCAAACTGGACAAATAGAGCAGCTTAATAAAAACTCACAATGGATGGCCTGTACATGAGCAAAGCCCTCAGGAATGACAGGGCTATAATTAACTAGCAGCAAGCAACTCTTACATTTTCCTGTGCAGCAGAAAACAGCTAAAAATAAAACACTGTAATTTCCAAAAGAAGCAGCAGCAAAGGAGGAAAAGATAGAAGGAAAAGAAATTAACATATTAAAAAAAAAAAAAAGACAAATGGGAAGAAACACCCCCCTCCCCTGACCCAAGAGAACTTCATTCTCAAATCATGTTAGAAGGACATGGGACACAGACGTGGTGGTATCAAGTAACAGCATTGACTGTTCTGTGAAGACAAATAAATTATCACTAGAAATATAGTGAGAAAAGTGCTGTCATCATGTTCTAGGACGGCTGGGCGGGAAGGGGAAAGCGGGACCAATCAGTTCACGGAGCGGACGGAGCGGTTGCTTCGTGGGAACCGATGCACCTTGACGTGTTTGGACAAGTGGTCGCTTCGAGCAAACTTCTTCTCACAGACAGGACACTGATACGGTTTCACGCCCGAGTGGGAGCGTCTGTGCCTGGACAGCTCATCTGACCTGGAGAACCTGCAGGAAAAGAGAAGCACTTTCAAATAACTGGTGTTTTCCACAGCTAATTCTCTCACAGTCACATAACATCCCCTCAGGCCACTGGGAGACTCTGCTTGTAGCAAGGCCCAAACTCAAATGGAAGAGCAGAGGACACACAGCAGAGATCATCTGGTCCCCATCAGCAGACATCAGCAGCGATGGAAACGCACAACTAACAACCCCATCTCATGGAAATTCCGCACCAAGAGCAATGCATAGAGGCAACGTTTGTGCCTCTTGTTCCAGCCCCCAATAATATGGATACAGCTAGAGTTGTATCCCCAGCACCAATGCTGGGGATCCTAGGCCTGTCCTGCAATCTCTTTCCTGCAAATCCAGCATAGATCTTGTCAAACAGAGATAACAATATCCCGCAGGTGAGGTCTGCTCCAAGCTCACACTGACACAAGTACAACAGCATATCCAGTAATTGCGGCTAATTTGAGATGGACCCCAGATAAGAGTCAGATATATTTACTCAGAAGCTATTTGCCTTATCAGATCCAACTCAAAACTGGCCTTTGCATGTTCTCTTGCTGGCTAAATAGAGTGATTAACATCTCTGTGTCAGAGATGCTAAATGTTATAACAGCTGAAATCCAGGCAGGCCCCTGTGGCCATTAAAACAGTTACTTCATGGGCAAATTAAAATCAAGACTGAGTCTTTAATTAACCAAATTGTCTCCCAGGAGTCTTCCCACCTTCAGTCTTCACAGAAAAATCCCCAAAATAGCCATCACGAATCCCACAAGCTTTACTGAACACAAATAAACTCACTAATCCATTGGTCTTAGCAGCAGAGCTGGCTCTTTTTCTAGCTTGGACTTGACTGGAAGTCACAGGGTTAACGATGCCCTGCTAAGAAGGCCCTGTCCGAATGGTGCAAAAAATGTGCTGCTTGACTAAGGAGAGTTAAGTGTTTTCTTGCCAGAACAGTAACAACGAGCAGCACAGAAAGAGAGCTTGCAAGAAATGGTATCAGCTGTATATTTACCATAAATAAATGAAGTCATGGGCACTAGCTGAATAAATGGAGGAAAGAACACATAGAAAAATGTGCCCTTCTGGAGCAAAATATCACATCATCAACAGGGTGAATATGCTGTTTTTATGAAAGGGGAAAAACAGGACCACTTGGCTCCCATGAATAAGTCCTTTATGCCAGAAAAATAAAGTTTCCATATAAAGGTTTTAATTAGCATTGATCTTCCACCACCAGTTGAGGAACAGGATGGAGTCACTGGGAAAGCTGAGAATGGCTTTTTTGGTTCCCATAGGTCTTCAGAGTCGCGCCTGCTACACAGAGAGATCTGCTGCCAGTGCAAAGAGGCAAAACTTTGGGGAAGGTACGTATGGATCCAGCTTTCCCAGGGATATGTCTGGAGGAGATTCCTTTGCCCATTTTTCCTTGCTTTTCTACCTGGTCCTTGCTTTGGTATCAACGTGGTAAAAAGAGCCAAATGGGCAGCATTTTGAGCAGCTCTCTATAAAGAGGTTGGGTTGTTGCCTGTGCTGACCAGCTCACCAGGATTTCCACATCCGAAGTGAACAAGAGTAGATCTGCTGCTAGGGGGGGCAGACACTTCCACAGGAAGAAGAGCTGGAGTGAGGAAAAAGCTCCTTTGCAAAAAGCCATTCCTATATTACGTACAGACTTGCCTCTCAGAGAAAGACTAAAACCAGGTGTGGCCAGGTTGCCTTGTCCCATGTCCTTGGTTGTTAAGGTCCCCATCTGCAAAAAAAGTGCAGTAGCGCAGGGCTAACCTGGCACAAGAGCGCTGCAAATGCCTTTTGATGGGAATCGCATGGATGGTGGGAGAGAGAGCAGCACATATCAGGAATGAGCAGCTCTGCTCATCCCTGGGAGCTCGGATGAGTTCATCCGATAAAAATACACTCTGCCTCATAACCATGTCCTTAGCAGAAGAGGCAGGAATGTTGCAATACTGTTCCCCAGCAGTCACGGAAAGATCAACTTACGGAGCCCACAGAAATAAACCTCGAGCTGTCACTGTGTTTACAAAAAAACAACGCAAAGGTTAGGACAAGGAAGCCGGGGAGGATCTGGTGGCCTGGCTCTGCAGGGGGTGGCTAAATGATATTTGCGGCACGTTCTGGCACTGAAACCAACCCGAGAACATAATATCCTGCTGACTGCCAAATTCAAATGAAAATGAGGTACCCCCAACAAACATCCAACCAGCCAAACGCACTCCCATTTCCAGAAGGATGGAGGAATTGGGAAGCCCTAGAGCAAGAGGAAGAGTCTACTTCACCTCTCTGTCTGGTGGGACCTCATATATATGTCCCTTGGAGACAAACACCCCAATGTACCAGGTTCTCAGCTATATGAGGACAGAGCTGTGTGGCTCAAAGGAGGAGAAAGTTGGTCACCTCAACCTCCTCCAACACAGCTGCCTCCCCTGCCGGGGCTGACGACAAGTGAGGTGGTAGCCCTCCATCCGTCCTGCCCTTCCACAAGGCAAGGATATAGCAAACCCGCCCGACCCTGCAGCACCAGCAAGAGGGCTCCCCAAGATCCCAGCACCATGTGCCTCACCACACACCTCAGCTCGCACCATCACCACAGCGCTTCACCGGTCCCACACCCTGCTGGCTGCAAGCGTGATAAGGCTTAAATCCTCCCTATCAAAGCAGGCAGAGCTCCTATCGACCTGCGATGAACAACCTCTGCAGGCGGTTAAAGGGGAGATAGCGCCGGCCCCATTCACTCTTGCCCAGCAAAAAAGAGGCCATTCTGCCCAAGCGCTTTGAGGCCAAAACCCATCATTGCCCACAGAGCACCTCACAGTGACCATTTAAACGCCATGGCCTAACCCGGTGCTGATATCAACTTCCCTGGCACACAGCCCGCGGGTGCCACATGCGAGGGGCCCAGGGCCCAGCCTGGCTTTTGGTCCTGGCTGCCTCTGGGGCCGTCACGTGCCAGCATCATAACCCGCTGGCCACGGATCAGCACGCCGACCGCGCTCCTGAGCTCCTCACAGGCACTCAACTGAGCACAGCTCCTGCATCAGGACGAGGAGAGACGCTCGCGCCGCTGCCCGTGGCCTGCTGCTCCCAAAGGCCTCCCTAGCGCACACTTGTACGCTTAAAGGATGGACCGTGACGTAGCTATTACTCCCCAACCAGAGAGCCTGCAAAGCGTTAATCCCCACAACTCCGCTGCTTTCTCCTAGGCAACATTTTGTTTCTTAAATTACCATATTCCAAGAGCTCAAGTCTTAAGTGTTTTTGGTGAAAAATAGATACACAAACAAGCGCAAGAATGCAGGGGGGGAGGGGAGGTGGGAGCAGAGCCCAGCAGTGCTCTTGCACTTAAATTCATTCGAGATAGTATAAAACTGGGAGCAAATAGAAATTCCAGACGTATTTGACTTAGTCATGTGAGGTGGCAGCTCCCTCCGAGCACCCGGAGAAGGTAAACACGCTTTACTGACGACAGAGCACTGAGGAGCTCCGTGCTCAGCTGGAGGGGACCTGGCCCCTTGCTGTGGCTGTGCAAAGCCCTGGGAACATGTGAGGATCTCGGTGGGTGCACCAGTGAGCCAAGCTCCTGCAACGATTCCTTCTCCCTCCACAGTGTCTGGAGGCGTTGGGGTTAGAGGTACCAGTTTGGGCTATACAAATACAGCAAGAGAAGAAAAACAAACCAAAATAACACTTCTTGCAACTGCTTGCAGGCAAGAGTTATGTTCTTAGTGGCCAAGTTGGTTACTCTCTCATCCTGTTTGAGCTTCTCATCTTCAGAGCAGCGGCTGGCCAGGAGCAAAAGCCCAGGGCGCCCCGAACTTCTGGCTCTGCATGTGTCTAACCCTGCCGCGCACCCGTCCCGCTTCCTCCATGCTCTTCCTCCTAGTGCCAGGAGAAGGCAGGCAACCCCGGCCTACAAGCTCCATCCCTTACATCTTCATCTCCTTTCCTAAACCTTCCCCTTGGTTTTGCAGCCTGGAAAACACTGTCTCAGAAAGAAGGCAGAGCTGTACACCATCACCCAGCGGCAACACTTCAGACTCCTCATCTCAAACTACAGAAGTTACTGGGACCTTTAGCATAAGCCTCGGGGTGCAGCAGACAACCCTCATGTGCCATGCACATTTTTTCACAAATACAAGGGCTTTGCTTGCATCCCAGCTCAGGGAAAGCTGACATGGCCCAGGCACAGTGGCAGGCAGAAGGCAAAGTTGTGTTTGCTGACTGTGCCTATGCCAAGAGCCAAGGGAAAAGGACTGCATGCTTCAGCTATAGGGCAGGGACAAAACAGCCTGTGCCTTATGGGCCCAGTCAGCTAAATAACCTGGCTTTAATTGTCAGTCATCCTGAGCAAGGCTCATAAAAACACCTCCTGTAACAAAATAATGGAAAGACCATCATAACCGGCTTGTAGAACCCACCATAAACCAAAATGGGCAATAAATAAACAAATGGAGAAAATCAGCATTGATCCACTCTGTCCCTCCGATGAGGCCCAAACTCTGCTTTGGGAGTGGAGGCTTCAGCCCCATTCTGACCTTTTCCCTCAAACCAATTCAGGCATCTCTAATTGCCGCATGTCTCACATACTTGCATTTTCACTCAACCCTCTCCTGTTACTTTTTACCTCGTCCGTTCCCCATGATCACCACCCATTTCCTCATTAGACATTGCTCGCAGAAGCCTTGCAGGGTATTCTTTGAAAGAAGTCTGGTTTAATTTAATACAAGGGAGTACAGATTGTTTTGCTTCCCTCATAATTTGTGGTGCTCTTTGTTAACACTTGCCAGCAGGCAGGCTATTAGAACGGCTAATTGCAATGAGAGCGGCAGGATTCCAAAGTTTCCCACCAAAAAAAAAAAAAATCAACTTTCTGTTTTAAAAACTTTTACTTTTTAAATTTGTATTAAAAAAGAAGAAAGACTTTTTATGATGCATTCTGCTTTCTGCTCAAACCTGCAAACTTCAATTTGAGCAATGTTTCTAAGGATTAATTGCACCTCATCATTATGGTTACGTCGTTATATCTGACAGCACTTTTGAGAGGGACCCATGTACCTTTCTGAACCACCGCAGAGGACAGAGCCTGCAGCACCCTGGAACGTCACCAACAACATTTCCAGAAGCAGTGGGATGGAGTATGTTCTCTATGAAACTACCTGAAATCCTGGATGTCTTAGTCCCATGCATTGCTGATCCCGCGCAGCCCCGTGCAGCTGGACCTGTGCACAACCACGATGTGCAGAGATTTGGCCCTCAACCAACACATTCATCTACAGGCCTCAGCTGGTACCAGCCCAGCATCTGCTGCAGCTGGTGTGTTCCAACGAGACCGTGTGACTGCAAGGCACTGCCTGCAGTGACAAGCTTAATCTGACCATCTTGAGATACTAAAGGATTTTTTTAAGACACTCGTACAATTGCTGTCAACAGGTGATGCTCTGTTATTCAGTTGATCAAAGCCCCTGTATCATCTAACAGGAAGAAAAAGGTCTTAGCTCTCAAACTAATTGAGCAAATTTGAGGCCCCAGAAATCCTTTTTCACCCAAACCTGTTGGCTCGAGTGAGCAGGGAGTGACGAGGGTTGAGCACTGTTGCACCCCAATACTAACCTCCATCCGCAACCTGGCCATGTACATGCAAAAGGCTTTTCTCCTGTATGCCTCCTCAGGTGGGCTTTCAAGTGGCTGCTTTTCGTGTACATCTTGGTACAGCCAGGGAAAGAACATTTGTGCATTTTAATGAGTTCTGCTGCAGGGTTCTTTTGAAATTTCTGACCCATGATGAGTCCCGTCTGACCCTGGATCATGCCTCCTGGCCCAATTGGCTTGGCGGCGATGGGGACGGGAGCAATGCGGACAAATTTAGAGGACAAGTTCAAATTGGATGACTGAACTATTTGGGGCACAAGGGCAAACGTCTGTCCTTGGATGTTGACCAGGAGCTGTGCAATTTTAATATTCTCTTGCGCTGGTCCTTGAGAACTGGGGCTCGTGTTGGACTCCTGCTTGATCTGTACAGGCTGGATTTGGAGCATAACTGGAATACCATTCTCCAGAGACATTCCTCCATTTGAAGCCTGGCTACCTTCCGTTGAGCTGCTCAATTGTTCATTTTTACTCTCTTTTAAACTAGCGTTGGGTACCATATGGTCTTTTTGTTGTATAGAAGCAACAGAACCTTGGCTGCAAGCTCTCAAGTCCTTGGTCTCACTTTTAGGTCTTTCTCTGAGCTCCAGCTCCATGTTTTCCTCCAGAAATTCCTCAATTTCCTCAAGTGTTGGCTGAAATGGTCCAGAGTCTTCCATATCCACTGCAAATTCAGGCAACCTAAAATATTCCTCTTTCACTATTGGCTGAAGTCTCCTTTTGTCCCACCAAGATGCAGCAGTGTTCCCCAAAGATGCCTGGGACAATAAGTAGTCTAAGATGCTGTCCTGGCTTTCGGCACTAGATGTGCTCCCATAGCTGGAGCTGAGAACCTGGGAATCAGGGCTGGAACAAGAACAGAAGCTGGAAGAGTCACTGTCATCTTCTGAGAGGGGTGAGGGCAGCATTTGGTAGGACCTCACCCCTGCTGTCATGTCCCCAAAGTATCCAAGAGAAGATCTTGTGGTTGAAAAAGATTCATCAGTAGGTAGCAAGTGATCCACCATTCCTGTACGATCTCCTAGGAGTATCTCAACAGCATATACCACACGGCGAAAATACAAGCAAGAGCCTGAAGAGAGGAAACAAAACAGCAACAGTCAGAAGTCGGGTTTAATCATTTATCTTCGCAAGCTGAACTTTACAAAGCTCACAGGAACGTCCTAAGCATCCAGGCTCTCGGAGTACACATGCTGCTGCATGCTTTGATATGCCTGTACCACCCCCTAAGGACTGCGAGTGCCTAAGCATTTTCCAGGATTGCACCACGTATTTGCAAAAGAATTCTTTCAGAAATCATTTCACAACTGTGTGTGCTCTAGATTTACAGCTCCCTTCCAGAGCATTACTGGCAAGGGAAAATAAATTATGGGCTTTCACCTAACAGTGAAACCTAGAGCCAAAGAAGGGAATGGGGAAGGGAAAAAAAAAAGGGTTGAAATTTTTACCACCTAAAAAAACAAATAAAAATGAAGTTTATTGCTTGTGGCCATAAAATGCAAATCCCTTCCTTATCTTGTAGCTTTCCACTGACTTTATTTTTAACTTCCTCAGTTCCACAAATATAGGCTAATCAGCATAATGCACGGATCAATCTGTCAGGAGCCAAAAATATTTGCTGTGCTTCAGCATTTACTAGGCGGATTTTCCCCTCCAGATGTAATGAATCAGTGTGCCAACGTCATCGGCACCTGCACTGCCCTTAATCAGGCTGGCCCGGTGCTGAGCTAATTACCACGTCCCGACGAGGCAGCGGGGTGCTGGGTTCACCTCCTCGCTGCGTGCGCCCGTCTCGTCGGGCGCGGGGACGATCCGAACCGGGACGCCCCGCGTCGGAGCGGCCCTGATCCCACAAACCCGTGCCCCTGCGAGCGATAGTCCCAGGGCAGCCACAGCAGAACAGCAAAATCTGCAGCCGCAGAAGTGCAAAATGCACCCGCTACAGCGCGGTTTGCCCTGAAAGACGTGCAAGTCCCGCGCTTCCTCAGCTCAGCAAATTTCCTAGAAAGGTTTCTGCAGCAGGGAAGGCAGGAGGGGTGGCTGCCCATTTGTTTTCTTTCCTTTCCTTCCTCCCCCAGAGGCAAAAAAAAAAAAAGAAAAAAAGAAATGCTCACGGGCTGGAGAACACGTCCCTTAGAGAGCGAACGCGGAGACCTCCGGCCGGAGCGAACACTGGCGCTCAGTCATTCGCTCAAGGTGACTGATTGAGAACAGAGCTGTATATGTGCATAATAAAACAACCCTTTCTGTGGAAGGTATGCGGGCTGCAGAGATAGAAGTCATTTGATCGGCCTGTGAGGCTGCGTGTGTGTGTGAGTGTGCGCGAGTGTGAATTGGGCGGCATGTGACCGGCGCGAAGGAAATGCCAGTCAAGCCTGTTACACGCTGTCATTTTCCACAGGCTCCGCCGCCGCGCTCGGACGTTTTGCCATGAATAGTCAATAGCGCCCAGTTTTGCGGAGGGAAGGGGATGGTTATTAGGACTGTTCCAAAGCATCCTTGCTGCCCGGTCTCCAAAGTTTGCCCCTATTTCTGCCTTCTCTGGAGAAAAAAAAGAAAAAAAAAAAGCCATCTCCGTGCTCGGCGCTGCAGCTCACGTGGAGCGAGATGTTTTACACGGCACCCTTAAAGGGCTCCATCCCCTTGGCAGCATCTATTAATATTTCATAGGAAATAGAGGCAAAAAAATATTTCTTAGAGCTTCCTGCTTTACGCGCACAGAGGAAGTAGGGGCAGGTTGGAAGGAGACTTAAAAGTAAAATGTCACATTTTCCTGCTTTGCCCGCCCTGTCAGTCAGCTGAACCGATAATGAAATACTCACATGTGCTGAATACAAGGAAGTTCAAGCAAAGGTTAGTGGCTCCGTTCTGTGCCCTTAGCCTATAATCATTTCTTATAGTAAAAGTGAAGAGCCAAAGTACTTGCGAGACACGTGCTACCTATTTTTTTTTTTTTTTAAATCTCAGTGTAGATGGAAAGTTACTCCAGCAGAGGTCATAGAGCTGAGCTATTCCCGGTTTCGAAGCGTTAATCAGAACGCGCTTGGGAGAATTTTTCATTGGCCTCCAATAAGGATTCACCCCAGCATCTTTTTCTTGCTTGCCCCAAAGTCTGGTGACCGCGGGGCAGACAGGAGCCCTCCTGCATCTCCAGCGATCCCGAATCTGCGCTATTCCCACCTGAACTTGCATCCAGGTGCTGCGACTGCGACATCTGGAATGCAACACTTTTTTTTCCCTATAAAGTCCTGTCTGCTTGTTTGTGTTGATGGTAAAAATGAGCGTGCGTGGAGAAGGGTGCACCAAAAACAGTGTTTTTTTTTTTTAAATCTTAAGTTTTTGAAATATCCAGGAAAAGTGATTTATTCAGGAAGCTATATATCAAAATATCCATGGATTTCAGTGGGAAAGGGACTAAACCTTAATTTGAGTAAAGGCTAAAGGGGAAAAAAAAAAAGAGAAGGAAAAAAAAAAAGAAAGAAAAAGAAAGAAAGAAAAACTACCAAGTGCTACACAACATCTCTCAGCGGAAAACAACCAGCGCTCTTATTTCCCCGTCTCTTTTGACAAGAATCAATGTCACTTGCTGTAACTGGAGTCATTTTAGGAAGGCAGGGGACTGTCAGAGGCAAATAGATCCAGGCACATTACAGCCAGATCTGCTTTCTGTGCACTCTCAAAACTTGCACCGCAGCCAGGAAGATCATGGGGAATGCAAGGAATGCAGGATCGAGCCCAAACTATATTTTATCCTAAAGGCCAGACTAACAACTAAAAGGCTTTCATCCGTACTTTGCCTGAAGACACAGCCAAAACCCAGAAGCTTCAAAAACAAAAATGGGCCAGGGATACGCAAGCTATTAAAACCAACGATGCCATTTACAGAAAGCATTCCACCCCTCGGAGCCCTGAAAACACGTTATGAATGTGACAGCCTAGACACGGAGGGCAGTTCCTGGGGCACTGAAAAACGGGCACTAACAGAGCGAAATTCAGCAGCGCTTTAACAACACGGCGGCCTCCAACTTTAAAGAGCTCCCTGGGTTGCTCCAAAATCCTTTCTGCCAGAAACATGTTGTTCTGCTTAAAAACTGCCCGTCTAATCACGGGTTTAAAAGGAGCAAGGGAAAGCGAGGAAAGGCATATTCTGCCTCAGCGTAACAAATCCAGAGCTTGCTGGACAACACGGGGGTATTTCCCAGCCTGTCATTTCAGGTGGCTGCTTTGAAACCCCAAGTCCAGCTCAAGCGCTTACCCCAGCGACATATGTTCGCATTTGGTGCGTGGATGCGCTGCTCCGCGGTTCCCACACATATTGCTACAGCTCCTTCCACCTTAGGACTAATCTCTTTAGTATTTTTTTTTCCCCTCCCTGTTTCCTAGAAGATTTTTTTAATCCGTTCGGACTAGCGGCTGTGTCCCATCCATTTCACGGGCAGTGCCGTAGAGCAGCCCGTCAACCGCTCCGTGGGACAAAAACAGCCTTTCTAAGAAATTTACGTGGAAATGCATTAAAAACAACAACAAAACCTGAAAAGAAAAAAGAAAAAGCGGAAACCCCTTTGCCCCCACAGACCTGCCAGCGTTTTGGGGGCGCAGGGACCGTGCCCCATGCATGGAGGGGGGCACCCCCCAGCAGCCTTTTGCCAGTGCCCCCCGCTCTGCAAAGCTGCGGAGACCTTTCCAAAGCCCTGTTTTGTGCAAGCTCTCCCCCCTACACAGTCTTTGGCTCTTTTAAGAGGAAGAAAAAGCGGAAACCCCTTTGCCCCCACAGACCTGCCAGCGTTTTGGGGGCGCAGGGACCGTGCCCCATGCATGGAGGGGGGCACCCCCCAGCAGCCTTTTGCCAGTGCCCCCCGCTCTGCAAAGCTGCGGAGACCTTTCCAAAGCCCTGTTTTGTGCAAGCTCTCCCCCCTACACAGTCTTTGGCTCTTTTAAGAGGAGACACTTTATTTACAGGTGTGCAAGCTCCTGGAGCTGTGCAAGTTTCTGGAGGGTAAGCAAGCTCCTGTGCAAGCTCCTGGGGGTATCCAAGCCCCTGGAGATACCCAGGCCCCTGGAGGTGTGCAAGCTCCTGGAGCTGTGCAAGTTTCTGGAGGGTAAGCAAGCTCCTGTGCAAGCTCCTGGGGGTATCCAAGCCCCTGGAGATACCCAGGCCCCTGGAGGTGTGCAAGCTCCTGGAGCTGTGCAAGTTTCTGGAGGGTAAGCAAGCTCCTGTGCAAGCTCCTGGGGGTATCCAAGCCCCTGGAGATACCCAGGCCCCTGGAGGTGTGCAAGCTCCTGGAGCTGTGCAAGTTTCTGGAGGGTAAGCAAGCTCCTGTGCAAGCTCCTGGGGGTATCCAAGCCCCTGGAGATACCCAGGCCCCTGGAGGTGTGCAAGCTCCTGGAGCTGTGCAAGTTTCTGGAGGGTAAGCAAGCTCCTGTGCAAGCTCCTGGGGGTATCCAAGCCCCTGGAGATACCCAGGCCCCTGGAGGTGTGCAAGCTCCTGGAGCTGTGCAAGTTTCTGGAGGGTAAGCAAGCTCCTGTGCAAGCTCCTGGGGGTATCCAAGCCCCTGGAGATACCCAGGCCCCTGGAGGTGTGCAAGCTCCTGGAGCTGTGCAAGTTTCTGGAGGGTAAGCAAGCTCCTGTGCAAGCTCCTGGGGGTATCCAAGCCCCTGGAGATACCCAGGCCCCTGGAAATGTGCAAGCTCTGGAGTTGTCCAAGCCCTGAAGGTGTGCAAGCCCCTGGAGATATCCAAGCCCCTGGAGTTGCCTAAGCCCTGGAGTTGTCCAAGCCCTGAAGGTGTGCAAGCCCCTGGAGATATCCAAGCCCCTGGAGATACCCAGGCCCCTGGAAATGTGCAAGCCCTGGAGTTGTCCAAGCCCTGAAGGTGTGCAAGCTCCCAGAGGTGTGCACATCCCTGGGAGTATCCAAGCCCTGGACATATCCAGGCCCCTGGAATCGTCCAAGACCTGGAGGTGTCCAAGCTCCTGGAGGTGTCCAAGTCCAGGGGAGTATCCAAGCCCTGGAGGTGTGCAAGTCGCCAGAGATGTCCAAGCACCCTCCGAGGTGTGCAGGCTCCAGGAGGTG